TTTTTTTTTTTTAAACAAAATCTTCTTAAAAGACTGCCTTTTAAGAACGGGTAAATGGTAACATGTCTTTAATGAGCTGCCAACACATTCCTCCTTTTAACATTAGCTGAAGTGATCTGCTTTGAGCAATAGAAGTCATTGGATTCTTATAAGCATCGGTGATTCTTCTAAAGGTTCTAACTTGGTATCTGTTGAAATAATTCTGGAACAGAGAGTGTTCCATGAAATTCTTGTTTCTTCTATTGTCCAACAATATCTTAAAGGTGAACATACTACATAATTAGGTAGCCAAGGGCCACCACATCTCCCCAGGCTCACATAGGATGTTGAATATATAGATTTAGATATACAGCGGTGTGTGTTACACAACAAGTTCCAGTTCTGAAAAGGAAATGAGTTAGTTATACAATGAAAGGATTTCCTTGCTTTTTTTCCCCTTCTGTTCTAGAGAAGGATACAGTGGTCTACAGATTTATTTAACCAAATCTGTTAACATTTTCTTCATAAATTTATTGAAAACAGGAACTTTGAAGATGTTAGTATATAACAGAATTGATGTTTGTTTTCTGTTTGAATTTAAACAGAGAAAATAAAAGGGTTACAGCTCCTTTCTCCTTTCTTTTTTTTTTTTATTTCATTTCAAAGTTGCTACCAGTTATATTCAATGATGGACAACAGAGAGACATGTTATAGAGTTTTTGCCTAGTTGACAAAGTTGCTTTTGAATGCTGGTGGTTCTATTCCTTTGACACTACACACTTTTATAATATATGTTAATGCTATATGACAAAATGATCTGATTCCAGTGCCAAAGGTTAAATCAGTGTGTATAACTCAACACACTCATCCATCTGTGCATTTTTTTTAAATGGTGCTTAACATAAGAAAACCATCCTTCGCGAGTCATCCATGTTATTCCTTAAGCATTATATCTTTGCTCCAATTTTTGAAGAATGGTGGCTTTTTTTTTTTTTTTACTTTTACTTTATTTATTTATTTATGTGGTGCTGAGGATCAAACCCAGTGCCCCACACATGTGAGTCAAGCACTGTACCACTAAGCCACTACCCCAACCAAATGGTGGCTTTTTTGATGGTATTGGTTTATGTTTTATGCACATTTTAACATGACAGATGCAATGCATTGTATAGCTACCATTTTCTGAAAAAGTCTTTCAGGAATCGTTTTTCAAATCTTCAATAAATTTTTTCTTTAACTTAAAAAAATAGGATTTAGTTTACTCCATACAAAAATTATGTATTAAATATTTTGGGGGCTGGGTTGTGGCTCAGAGGAAGAGCATCCCCTAGCATGGGAGAGGCACTGGGTTCGACTCTTAGCACCAAATAAATAAAAATATTGTGCCCACAGATAACTAAAATATAAATATTTTAAAAATATATTTTGGAATACAAAAGGTCTGGCTTACCACTATTAGATGTGTAGCAAAGTCAGAATCACAATGTTCAACACTTTTTTAATTAAATTACTTATTTATTCTAATTTGTTATTTATGATGGCAGAATGCAATTCACTTCATATTACACGTATAGAGCGCAATTTTCAAGTCACTGATTGTACACAAAGTATTTTCACACCATTCGTGTCTTCTTACATGTACTTAGCGTAATGATGTCTAACTCATTCCGCCATCTTTTCTAACCCTATACCCCTTTCCTTCCCCTCCTTCCCCCTTTTTCTATCTAAATTTCCTCCATTCCTCCCATGCCGCCTGCCCCCATTGCCATTGTGAGTCAGCATCCTCATATCAAAGAAAATATTTGGCCTTTGGTTTTGGGGGATTAGCTTACTTCACTTAGCATTATATTCTCTAACTCCATCCATTTACCTGCAACAGCCATGATTTTATTTTCTTTTAATGCTGAGTAATATTCCATTGTGTATATATACCATAGTTTCTCTATCCATTCATCTACTGAAGGGCATCTGGGTTGTTTCCACAATTTAGCTATTGTGGATTGTGCTGCTATAAACATTGATGTGGCTGTGTCCCTGTAGTATGCTGTTTTTAAGTCCTCTGGGTATACATCGAGGGGTGGGATAACTGGATCAAATAGTGGGTCCATTCCAAGTTTTCCAAGGATTCTCCATACTGCTTTCCAGATTGGCTGCACCAATTTACAGTCCCACCTGCAATGTATGAGTGTGCCTTTCCCCCCACATCCTTGCCAACACTTATTGTTGTTTGTATTCTTGATAGCTGGCATTCTGACGGGAGTGAGTTGAAATCTTAGAGTGGTTTTGATTTGCATTTCTCTAATTGCTAAAGATGTTGAACATTTTTTCATATATTTGTTGATTGATTGTATATCATCTTCTGAGAAGTATCTGTTCAGTTCCTTGGCCCATTTACTGATTGGGTTATTTGTTTTTTGGTGTTAAGGTTTTTGAGTGCTTTATATATCCTAGAGATTAGTGCTCTATCTGATGTGTTTGTGGTAGAGATTGGCTCCAATTCGGTAGGTTCTCTCTTTATTTCTCTGTTTCTTTTTGCTGAGAAGAAGCTTTTTAGTTTGAATCTATCCCATTTATTGATTCTTGATTTTATTTCCCTCAATATGGGAGTCCTATTAAGGAAGTTGGGGCCTAATCTGACATGATGGAGATTTGGGTCTACTTTTTCTTCTTAGGCTCAAGGTCTCTGGTTTAATTCCTAGGTCCTTGATCCACTTTGAGTTGAGTTTTGTGCATGGTGAGAGATAGGGGCTTAATTTCATTTTGTTACATGTGGATTTCCAGTTTTCCCAGCACCATTTTTTGAAGAGGCTATCTTTTCTTCAATATATTGCTCAACCCATTTTCATCTCCACCACAACACCACAACTAAATTCTTAAACTGAAGTTTATGGAATGTCTACAATTGGGGGTACTTAAGTACATCTATAAACTTTCCAGAAAGACAACTCATAGCTTTCATTAGATTCTCTGTAAACCCTCCTCACCAGCGCGCACACACACGCGCACACACACACAAAAAATTATACAAGAGATACAAAAATATTCTGGCTCTTTTAATTATTTTATTTTATATGTAATTATTTATTCTACCTCTTTTATTTATTTTAAAATCTTTTTTGTTTTTACTTTAGTCTGAGGTTTGAAATTTAATGAGAAAACACAGCAAACTTGATTTCTTTCCTTCTGTGCCTATTCAATCATCCCATTCCTTCAAAACTGAATAGTACATGGAAATTGTATGTATTTGTGTGTGTGTGTGTGTGTGTGTGTGTGTGTGTGTGTGTATGTTCTTAAAGCTGTCTTTGAGGACAGCAGGATGCAAGGTAAAATATAGGGGAAAAGATAGTAACCATTTCTTTTTTAATAAAATGATATTTAAAAACAGAAATCTGTTTTGGATTTTTTATTTCTCTCCAGAATTTCTTGGCTATTGTTTATTGTTATTTAGTGTTCTTCATTGTGAATTTTTTTGTGGGTAACTGTAAATTACTAGATTCTATTTTAACTAGAGGAGCCAACACAGCAAATCTGTGTTCTGTTATAAATTAAGTGATGTGATGACATATGCTTAGTGGTTAACTGACATACAAAACAAATCAGATGTAATCATTTGAATATAAGTTCGAGATATGAAATAAACCATTTTGGGGTTGAAACAAAAGACAGAACCATAGAAGTAGCAATTTGCCAAAGCACAAATAAACTAATTCTGCTTACAGTCAGCAAAAGACAATAATTTCAATTGGATATTTTTCTTCTTCGAGTATCATTAAAAGAAGTTAACTTCAATATAAAAACATAGAATTTATGGTTGGGGGCTTAATGGTAGAACACTTGCCTAGCATGCTTAAGGCATGGGGTCAATTCCTGTACCAAAACAAAACAAAACAAAAACAAAAACCATGGATTTAGAACTGAAGGATTTGGAAGGTTCTCTCCCTGCCCCCCCCCCAGGGGCCAAGGATCAAATTCAGGGGTGCCACAAACTAAATCCCCAATCCTCTTTTTTTTTTTTTTTGGTACCAGGGAATGAACCCAGAGGTGCTTTACCACTGAGCCACATCTAGACCTCTTTTTTGTTTTATTTAGAGACGGGGTCTTGCTGAGTTGCTTAGGGCTTCACTAAATTGCTGAGACTTGGCTTTGAAATACAGATCCTCTTGCCTCATCCTCCCAAGTCACTGCAATTAAAAGCTTGCACCACTGCACCTGGTCTCCTTTTTCTTTCTTCCTTCCTTCTTTCCTTCCTTTCTTCTTTCTTTTCTTCTTCTTTTTCTTAACTGGAAAGGACACAGGACCAAAGACTCTTTAAGAGACAGGGTGACTGGTCACAAAAGCTCTAACCCAGGTGTTATAACTCGAAGATCTACTTCCTTCAGTGTCTCTTATTCAGAGCACTAAAGAGAGAACAATTGACTTGCAAATTATTATACAATGCTATTAAAGAATGCAAGTTAAATTTATAATGCCTGCCACTCAGATAAGGGCTTAGTTATCAGGAGAGCTGAAAACATACTGCCTATCAAGGAATAAATGATAACAAGAAAAAAAGGTAGGACAAAAGATTAAAAGGTCATTCTGGTTCTTAGGACAGAAGCCAATTTTTAAAGTCAACTTCATTAAAATAATTTTCTTTATTTAAAGTTATACTTACCCTATGGAGGAGATAGAATTAGAGAAGTGAAGAACTCTGCCTTTTTAGAGTATGAATTTCTGTGTGTTTGATTTTTCTCTCTGGTCAGGTAATCATCTGTTACTTGAATACTTCTTTCTTCCTTTTTTTTTTTTTTTTTTGTGTGTGTGTTGTTGTTGTTGTTACTGGGGATTCAACTCAGGAGAGTTCTACCACTGAGCTCCATCTCAAACCCTTTTTATTTTGAAACAAGGTATCCCTAAGTTGCTCAGGCTAGACTTAAACTTGCAAGAGTACTGCCTCAGTCTCCCAAGTCTCTGGGATTCTAGGCATGTGCCACTCCACCTGGCTATTTATATAATTTTAATTTTTTTTTTTAAGGAATCCCATCGCTTCTCAGCTTTTTGGCTAAGATCAAGTGTAGTATCTGTTCTTATCAGTTTAAAAAGGAATCCCATACCCTGAGGTTTTTATTTGATGTCCATGTTTTTCATCTACATGTCTGACCACTGGCAGTTGACTATTTTACATGTTTAGCCTCGAAACAGAAGAAAAATTGCTTCACTTTATTTGTGGATAAATTCAGTTGTTTCTTTTGTTCCTCTCCAAGATAGAATGGAAGTCAGGAAGTTGATTAAAATAGGACTTCCAACTGGAAGACCCCTTGGTGTCTTTGGGGCCAATCTGCAACTTACTGTACAGGAGGGAGCAGACTCCCCTGAGAGAGGGACTCCCAGGCTTACTGCATCTGCCTCCCACTTACCCACGGTGACTGAATGCCTGCAGCAGAGCAATCCTGGGCATAAGTTACCCAACCTTACTTCCTGTTGCATTTCTGTAGTTTGCACTAGGCTGTCAAACAAGGATGTTTTCATTTATTTTGTCTAAGTGTCTTATCTCCCTCTTAGAACCTAATGGTTACTGTGTGCCTGCACTGCCTCAGGCACTCTAGTGACGTGCATCAGTACATTTTCTCTTCAGGACAACCCTCTAAGATAGCTGCTGTCACCCTTATTTTTCTCCTTTTTTTTTTTTTTCCTATGTAAGGAAACTAAATTCAAAGAGGTTAGGAAATTTGCACAAAATCACACAGCTCATAGGTGGTGGGAATAAGACTCAAACCTACCAACAGAAGGTATGCTTCCAAAACTCATTAGAAATTCTACTGGGTTGAATTATGCTTTATTTGCCTTTGTGTTCCTGACAGGTATTAGTACACTGTTATCCAAATAGTAGGTACTCAATACATGATTTTGAAAAGAATGAACAAATGATAGATTCAGTAAGAACAAAGCAGAAAAACTTTTTAAAAATGTTGTCCTTACTAAGTCTATCGTTTAGTGCAGAGTGGTTTAACACCTGGATGCTAGGGCCGAAATGCCAGGGCTCAAATCCTGTCTTGCTCTCTCCTTGGGAAACTACTGAGCTTCTCTGTGCCTCAGTTGTTTCATTTGTAAGGTGGGGGTCATAGCTGTGACTTCTTTATAGGGTTGTTTTGAAGATGCGGCCAGTTAGTAAGACATAAGGCACATAGGAACACAGAGTAAACACTCAATAAAAAGTTTTATGAACTTAACTACATTTCTTCATAGCCCTTATAAAATCCTTATCATCCTTATTTTGCAGTAGAGCATTTTCAAAAAGTCCTTAGTGCCACAGATCCAGGGTTCTCTGTGTGTGCCTTTCCTCCGTTCCTGAGTGCATACTGTGTGCACAGCCTTGTGCTGCCTGGACAGGCAAGGGACCATTTTTCTATGCCACCTCAAATCCCATGGGTCTGCTGCACTTCACTGCATCTCCAAGAGCAGTAACAGGAACTGAAAAGCAGAAACTGAAAGCAAAATAAACTTCAATCAGAAAACACTTCTCTATTTCTCCCTTTGCCACTTACCAAAAAAAAAAAAAAAAGGTAAATTGAAATTGAAAACCTGTGAAGTCCAGTATGTGTTTTTTGTTTTTAACTATCTAAATGTTAAGTACAAAGTTTTCATTCCTTCATTCAGCAGACATCTATTGAGTGTTCCCTGTTGTGTGCTTTACTCTGTCTGTACATCTGGTGACCATCTACCCTGGGTTTTCTACAACAATCCGAACTTTGAAAGCCTTTAGTGTCTTTTCATGGAAATAAATTAACAAGGAGAGGGGAGCCTTTCTCAGGCCCTAGGGCCAAAGTTTTCTTTCTATTTACTTTCAGTTGTGTTGCTGCTTGCCCTGAGGTTAGGAGGCACCCAGTAAAAAAATTTTTCAAGTCTTGAAGGGTTGAGTAAGCCCAGACAGAGGAATTATAAGCAGCTACTCTTGGTGTCTCCTTTGCAGAAAGTTTTCAGTGTTAAAAAATTCATCTGTAATTGTGGTTGTTTCTTTGGGATAGGCAATACTGGAAACTATATTTATATTATGCATTCTTGTCATTTTTTTTTTCATTTTACAGTGGCTGCATTACTGTGATAAGCAGTGTTAACTCTTAACTTCCTGCCATAAATAAAATAAAATAGACATTCTCTTTTTAAGCATGAGTAATAAGGGTTGGAGAAAAACTATATGCTACCTGAGGGCAGGGGTCATCTGTTTTTCGCATCTTTGTATCCCACAGAGGTTCACTCAATGAATATATATCAAAGGAATGAACAAAGTCCTCTTTAATATTTTTTAATAATAATATTACTTTCCCAAATAGGGATATTGTAGCTCACTTTAAGCATGCCAAAGAGCAAATACTAAAATGTGAATTTACACAGAATGTAAACATTATTTATTTAATGAAAGTGTTCACCAGATCCCTTTACACAGAAAATATCCTCCATAGGTTTGTTAAGATTTGATTCACTTCATTTTGCTCATGTGATAGTGGAGTAGATTAAAAGAACTTTGATAAACCAAAAACCCAGGATGTGAATCCTGCCTCCACTGTGACCTATTGTGTGTTTGAACACAATATTTTATTTTGATGTGGTGCTCAGGATGGAACCCAGTGCCTCACACATGCTAGGCAAGCATTGTACCACTGAGCCACAACCCAGCCCTGAAAGTGTTTTAATACTCATTAAAACCCCTGATACAGGGCCACGAGCATAAATATAAATGTTAGCTGCTGTTATTATTATTGTTTATTAAAGCTTTTCAGAACACCCAGTGCATAAATTGAAGCATAAATACAGTAATAACCACAAGCCCCCAAATGCATTATGGAGACTCAGGCCTAATTGGTATGAAAAAAAGAAAGTTTTTCATGCTTAATGCCAACCAAGTGATTTGAATGCTTGGACTCACATCACTTCGTGCTTAGAGTTCTGAGAGCACAGAGGCCTCCCTCACTTCCTTGTTTATGTGACATGAGGGGAAATCCCACCCTCCTCCAGCCTCTCTAAGCAAACCTTTTGAGGTTCAGCCAGAAAGAAAAGAAAAAAAAAAAAAAACAGTCAAACTTGGGAGCAAGGACTGGTAAGCTTGGAGGCTGGAATTGCAACATAGCCAGAGGATTTAAGGATAGTTCAACCCAACAAAAACACCTAAACTTCAGCATAAACTTTGCACTTTGATAAATAAACTAAGAGCTGCATCTTATGGTGGGGGTAGGAAGTCTCCTCCCCACACCAACCCTCCTCTTTGAGGCATGAGTGAGCCCAGGGACTGACAGGCCAGCTGGCTGAAGGCCCAACACTGCCAAATGAGGAGGATTTGCTCCAGAGTCTTGGTTCCAACCTCCACTAAGCTTCGAGAACAAGTTGGGGGTAGGGTGGTGGCAGCAGATGGCTATGTTCCGTGTTCTAGACTCCAGTCTCCAGGAATTCTGGGTGTGTGTGTGCACCAACTAAGCCATGCCTGTGAGGTGGGCTTCCCTGTGGTCCTGGAGTGCAGTAACTCTGGTTCTCTGCTGAAACTCTTTGCAAGTCAACAAGTCAACGTGCTTCCTACCCATGTCATGCCTGCCATTCATTACCTGCTTCTAGAATCAGAGAGAGGCCCTTGGGAAGCGGACACAGGCCACTGGGCTGCTGCAGGATATTCTCATCTTGGCCTCACAAATGAGATCTCTTTGTTCCATTTTTCCATGCCCCAGGCCCCCCTATGTAATTCCATTATAATTTAAATGTGAAGTTTTTTTTTTTTAAGAGCAAAGTCAGACTGTCCTTTTAAAGTGGAGAGCCATAAAACTAGCCACTCCTGCTAGTCACAGAGAGTTCAGATACTCTAGATAAGAAAAATTCATGAGGAACACAGAGAGTTAGAGTAGGATTGTGTTATCCTTTAAGCATGCACACATGCTGTCAGTGTACATGGATATAAATATTAAGATGCAGTTGACCACAGCTTGCACTTCTGAGTTCCTTAGAAATCCTGTTATTTCGGTAGTAGATGCTTATTTATTGAACAAATAAGTAAATGCCTGTGAAATAAAGAACCCTGGAAAGGTGAGGGTGGGCTTCATGGAGAAAGTAGGAAGTTGTCTACAGCATTGCAGGGCACTGACCAGAATGCTGGGTAGAGTGAACTTTTCAATGTTGTTGTCAGAGCTAAGAAATAATAGAAATTGAAATAATAGTAATTCCCTTCTACTTCTTAGAAGATTATGGTGAGGGGCAAGGGAGATGTTTTGCTTTCTAGTGCTCTCTTTGAGGCTGAAGATAAGGAAGATGATTTTTCCGGTTGTTCCCTGATCAGTTTCAGTTCTACTGGGCTACCCTCTTAGATCTGAGATTGAGGCCACCACAGTGACCATGACAAGTGGCAGGGTTGTCCTCCAAGAACCCATCCTTGAGCTCTGCTGAAGGTGGGAATGTGGGACAGTTTCTTGGTGACTGTCTTTCCAGTGCTGACTCTCCTCCTAAGCACTTGTTAGCTATTAGACCTCAGGTGACGATATCTTCTTTATGCAGTGAGCAGATTATAGTGAAATGACCATAGTCTATTCTCTAGGGCTTTTGCAAGGAACCTTTCATTAAATCTTTGTAGAAAGTTTGATGTTTTCAAGCATACTTTTAAAAATAACACTGTTTTCCTTTACCAGGGTAGGAACGACCTCCTAGTGAAGACAGGGGTATGGGAAAGGTGCCATTTCTGCATGGGTTAGATTCATCTCAACCCATCTTGGTGTAAATTAGGGAAGTACTAGCGGCTCAAGATGGTTGATTTTATGTTTCCACTTGGCTGGGCCACAATGCCCACATATGTGGTCAAGTATTATTTTGGATGCTTCTGTGAGGGTGTTTTTGGATGAGATTAACATTTGAATCAGTTGATTTTGAATAGTTTCCCTTCAGTGATGTGAGTGGGCCTCACCTCATCACTGAAAGTCTGAAAAGAACAAAAGCCCCACCTCTTCCAAGCAAGGGGGAAAGAGTCCACCAGCAGCAGGTGGCCTTCAGTTCTTCCTGGATCTTCAGCCTGCTGGACAACTCTGCAGAGTTTGGACTTGCTAGTGTCCATGATTACATGAGCCAATTCCTTACAATAAATCAATCTCTCTCTCTCTCTCTCTCTCTCTCT